TTAGGACTTTGTAAAAGCTTTTAGTAACTAAAATTGGTAGCTTATTTCTTTTCAAACCAATTGTCACAAGTCTGCTAATTGGTTCTATGATTTTTGGAACAGTGTTGCTGTGCCTTTGCACAGATGTGAAAAATATATTAGGAGCTTGCAATTCAGGAGGAGTCAGGAATGCTCAGGGATGTTCTTTCACTACTGTTGGTTTATCTGGTAAAAGAACAAGTCCCTTGTTTCACAGCAATATGGTAGTGCAAGGGTAATGCTCTATTAAAGAAAGCTGAGATGATCCTCATTACTGGATTATTGTCCATATCCAGAATTGACTGTTCCAAGTACTCAGTTATACATGGCACATAGGCAGTTATCTTCTTCTACAAGTTCTAAATTTTGTACTGAAAGATCTCCATGAACCTCTCTGTTTGTGGAGATCCAGTTGATTAGATGTTTACTCCACTCCTGAAATGTCAGCCAAAAGTGTTGTCACTCTCACAAAACAAAAATTTCCCATATTGTTTATAAATCAGGAATGCTTACTGTGTTCCTTTTGCATGTAGTGCTGACCTTTTAGCCACTCAGCTTGATTTAGAAATAAGAAATAAAAAAAATTAAATTGGAATGTCACGTCACCTTTGTCTCTGACAAACAACTTCCAGATCTACTTTTCTCTACAGTAAACTGCAAAGACTTTACAGATTTGCTGCAATTTTCAGTAGAGAACTGTAATGCCTTAGTGGTTCTGTTCTGTACCAGGTTTCACTGCAGAATTAACTCCAAAACATCTGTAGAACAAATCTTCTTGCATACTGAATAAAAAATGTGTTGCTAATTGTGTGGGTGGCATTTGTCAGTCTGCTCATGAGTGTCAGGAACCATATTGTATTATTTTTAAAGTCTCTGAAGGCTGATAACAATCTGTCTTTAACTGTAAACTAGTAATCTGATGTAATGACAGGAGAAATAAACTTCCCAGCTGACCTGACAGAAAAATGTGTTCTTGGTGAGTAGATATTTACAGAGTCAACAAGTCATAAAAGCAATTGGCTGGCAAGAAATGCTGTCATTTCAATGACACTTAATAATAATGAGCTTTAAAAATCAAATTAATTAGGAAATAACATCTTCTTGGTCCCAGTCTCACAGGTCAGAAGGTAACAGAAGGTAACAGAGGTCTGATTTCTTGTCCTGCCCTATTCTGTCCTGGCCTGCAGTGTGTGTGCTTTAAGCAGTGCAGAACCAATCAGCAAAAATTCTGATTATTTGATTTCTATAAACATAAATAAATTCTATAAACATAAGGAGGGAAGCAGCAACTCATAGTAGCCCTAATTTTATGTAATACTAGCTACAACTACTCAAAACCAGCTAAAAAGTAGTTATACCTTTCCTTTCTAATTCAAGTTAAATATTTGGAAGTATTCATAATGTGAGTATGTCCTTCTTGCCTTTTTAACTAGCCTCCTTGTGTCTGTCATTTTAATTATTTAAAGCTTTAATTTCTATCTACAGTTAAAGAAGATTCTTCCTAAATCTTCAAGGAAATATTTTTTTTTGTGGATATTGTGTGTTAAAATAGAATAATACTTCTTATTAAGAGGTATTTGTTTAGAAACTCTTTCAGGTGCTACAGATCTACCATCAAAGTATCATTAAGAGCTGTTTCTCATGTAGCAGTCATAAAAGATGACTAGAGGAGTTTCTCTTCTTGGGGATAGTTGACTGTGTCTTCACTGTATTAGACAAAGCCAGAGCTTCTGAAAAACTTTGTTGGACTCTAAGCACAAATATCTCTTTATCTTAGTATGCAAGTTGAAACTGTTGTCTGTCTGTTTGCATCTAGTCTCTAATGGTCTTGTGTATAGGTATTTGTAGGTGCACAGTTTGTGGTAACTGGGAGTGGGGCTGCAGCCCAGCCTCATCCCCAGTGGGTGCAGCTGTGAGAAGCAGGTGAGCAGCACTGACAGCAATGAGCCATGGAGTGCCCAGGGGCACTGCCCAACCACCAAAGGGAGCAGAGGGCACACAGGTGTGATGCATCAACATGAGGGTATGAAAGGCTGGGCTGATCTGAAGTGACCTGGTGTTACTCTGTATGGGTTGAAGCTTTCTGAATTTGTATGATGATACTCTTGTGTATCGTGTCTGTCTCAGCTGTGACGTGTGCTGCAAAGGTACTAGCAGAAATAAGAGCACTATATGTTGTGCTTACCATTTGTATTCAGTATCAGTTGCAATGGAAAGGGATCCAATTTGTATTTCTGTTGGACATAGTTTAAATTGTGGTATATAACTGGTCTTTAACAGCTTTGCCCCAGTTTCTATGTTTTCTGAAGGGGGAGATTAAAGTGGATGCTTCATTATATTAAAGACAAAAGACACAGAATAGAAACAAAGTTGTTTTATAGAGGCAAAATACCTAACAGACCAATGAAGTCTGATTAGATACCTTATTCCACATTTTTTTTTCATATATATATGTATTTATATGTTTTTTGCTAGCTGCAGCACATCTGTGGTCCTCTAAAGAACTTCCTGCATTCAGTGAGGTGCAGAAATGTAGCTAGGCTAAAGAAAAAAATATGATGGATGAAGAAAACATCAAAGTATGTCAAGGAGATATACAGCAAATGCTGAGAAGGAAGCCTCATTCCCAAGGTGAGGATTCAGCAGATTTTCATTTAATCTCATTTTACCCGTTAAATGTTATGAATTCTGTGTTTTTATATTTTTCTACAAATCAGCTGTTTCCCATGAAAATTTGGAAGTACACTACTGTTTGACTGGGTTGATGTCATCAGCCATGAGGGTGGTCAGGCCCTGGCACACATTACCCAGAGGATCTCTGGCTGCCCATCCCTGCAAGCGTCCAAGGCCAGGTTGGAAGGAACTTGGAGCAACTTGGCAGAGGGTTGGAGTAGGATGATCTTTAAAGTCCATTCCAACCCAAACCATTCTGTGATACCTGATCATTTTCCCCATGGCAAGAACCTCTCTACTTCTAGAGCTGTGTTATGCTGACAGTCACCCAACCCCCAGGACTAATGAGCAGTGTCAAATACTAGTTTTGACAATACTTCTTTTGTTTCATCCCCCTGTGTCTGTGTATGGTCACAGAAGAGATACAATGGATTTTCCAGGGAGTGTTGGTCATACTCATGCTTCCCTTCTCTTGCAGCTTGGAAATGCAAGGTCTCTGAATGACTTAGTGGTTTCTGGGTTCCTGATCTTTGTGGACTACTGCACACCTGCTTTCTAATTTAAAGAGGAGGAAGATGTTCAGATGACACATTGCAGTACTTGTTGCATCTCTTTGGTCTAGAGAATTTTGTTTCTTGGGTCTGTTCACATTGCTGTGAGCAGTTCTAGAGCAGCCACTTGAGGATCACATATTCACTAATTAATTCCCTGTGCAAGGCAATGGACTAGAGCTTTCAGCAAAACTCTGCTAAACTGTTCTTTCTTTTACAGACAGAACTCTCACTGGCTGAGAATCACCTGTAGGACGATATGTGCAGTCATATCAAGGAAAAGAAAAAGTATGTCTTTCTGTAATTATGGTTATTTTTTGAGTGTGTTATCCATATATTTTACAATTTATTTGTCTTTGCCACATTTAAAGAATGCTGGACTTTGAACTGGTAAAGAAACCAAGGAACTGTTCTGGTTATGGTTTTTTTTGGTTTTGGGGTAAAGTAATCTTCAATCATGAGCATGAAGAATTTGACTATGGAGAATAGAGAATGTGAGGGGCAAACAATGATAGTTCATTTTATGCAGGCCCAAAACTCTTTTGGTTTTTGCCTGTCATGGGTTTGCCAAAAGCTAATAGCTCAGTGCATTTACAGTGAAAGGTTATGTGTACAACTGCTGACTGCAATGTGTCATCAAATGTTTTTTTCCTGTCCTTTACATTAGCTGCAGAAGGAAGTATTTTTCAAAGGTAAGATGAGATTCTTTACGGGTTTCAACAACATTCCAAATTGATATTGGGGCTCTATTAGAGAACTAGATCTGGTTTTCTTCCCTAACCATCAACTGTCCCTTGCTTATGATATGAAAATGCATATCTGCAAAACTGTCTTCATGTGTGACCAATGTGTGTGTTGGTGCAAAATCTATTACAATGTTTACAGCTGGTGTTTCTTACTGATTCAGGGTTGCTGTCTGTATCTGTCACTGATTGCCCATCATCTGTAGTAGGCTGATTTTAGGTGAGAATTCTTGATGTTTCTAGATAAGGAGGCCTTTCTTGAACAGGGACAGGTACAAGTGTGATTTTTTTTCTCTTCTCTCCCATATTATTTTGCCTTGTTCTTAGTCTTACATGTTTCTGGTTTTGTCATAGTAAGTGAAAAAAATCCAGTGCTTAGTTCTAGAGGTGTATTCCTTAAGCCATTTCCTTTTCAACTCTAATGTTATTGGAAGAGTAACAGTGAAAGACTGCTTTGGTGTGGGGGAGGTAGATTTAACCGAGTGAGACAGAACACACCTGTGTGCACACTGGAATAGCTGGAACCAGGTTAGTTGAGAAGTTATGGTAACCTGAAGCAGACTTTCATGTCGAAATAGAAGGCACATCTAAAGCAGTAATTTACTGTAACGTACCCCACTTTGCAGCGGGCATGGTGATTGCTAGCACGAGGATGGAAACGGAAAGGGAGCGACGCTTCCCATCTCCCCCTGCCGCGGGACACCGGGGGCGGAGGAGCGCTGGCGGTGCAGGGGCGGCTGGGGGCCGTTCCCGGCCGCGCTCTGCCGCCGGCATCGCCCAGGAGCGCCGAGGGGCTCGCCTGTCCACTCTCGCCCGGCGCCGAAGGCGGCGGCCCCGCGGGCGGCCCCGGCCAGGGCTGTGCCGGGTACCCGGCGCGGCTGCCGCGGGGGCGGAGCGGGGCGGAGCGCGGCTCCCCGGGCCGCTGCGGGCAGCCAGGGGAGGGAGGGCCCTGCGGCCGGTGACTTCATGAGGAGGAGGCGGCGGCGGCGGGAGGTGGGTCTCGCTTTCCTCTCCCGGTGCCGTCTGCAGGGCGGGCGAGAGGCGGCCGCTGCGCCGGGCAGCGCGGGCGGGGGACAGCGGTGACGGAAAGCGGCAGCTGGGGGGGGACGGCAGCGCTGGGTTGACTCCCTTCCCCCTCCCGGCCGGAGGAAGATGGAGCTCGGTTAGTGAGGGCTTGCGGGAGGAGCAGCGGGAGCAGGTAAGAGCTGCTACTCCTCCTCCCGCGGCGGGCTGCGGGCGGCCGCTGTCATTGGCACAGGTGGGCCCGGCGCTGCCGTGTCCTTGCCCGCGGCGCCGCGGCCGCACAAGTTCCCGCTGTGCGCGGCGGACGGCCCGAGGGCAGCGCCCTCGGCCGCAGCCCGTGAGGGCACAGGCGGGCGTTCAGACGCGCCTCCCGCCCCGCGCCTCGGCTCGGCGTGGCGGGGATGCGGTAGGGCTTCGGCTCTGCCCCCCGCCCCGTCTCCCCCGGCTCATTGATGAGTTCCGGGAAGGGTTTCTGCATTGCAGACTCGCTCCGCTCCTGCGTTCGCAGCTTCAGCCTGTACAAGGAGCCTTTTCCCTGGCGGGTGGTCCGGTGCTGCTCGGACAAGGGGCCGATTCGGGCAGGTGGGATGTCCTTCTGTGGTTCTTAGACCATGTCAGGACATTTGGGATGACTGACCTCATTCAGTAACTATTACATGTACATATGATAATTGTTCTCCTTCTGAAACAGCTACAAAAGGGTGTCTGCCAGGATTTGTGGGAATAATGCTCATTAGGAGTTCACAGGGTGCAATATAGTGCATGAGATATAACGTGTATATAAAACATAATGCAGTGAGGCACACGACCTTACATAATCTATATTTAAAAAGCTCACTACCCCTACGCTTACCCTGGAGGTTGTAGGAATATGTCTGTTCTAAGCGCTTTCTGGAGACTCGTTCGGTACCTAGCTGACATAAAGATGCAGCCTGCCCTATGAGCAGTGCTGAAAATAAAAGGATAAATTGTTAACTACTTTTGCTGTAGTTCTGTCACAGTAAGTTCCTCGTTGCTGGTCAGTGTGCCTCACACACAGTGATATTCATGGCTACATGGGCATACATAGCTCCCACAGCCAGAGGGAATGGTCTCTTCTGTTGTCCCTTGGATGTGCCTTTAAACTGACCGGCTAAAACACTGTCAATATTTTAATAAACTCTCGAGGCTTCTCTCCCTAGGCCTGAATAGTACTGCATTTTCTAGCATATGGATATAAATTTGATATAAACAGAAAGAAGCCTTTCACACTTTTCATTTGACCTTCACCATCTCAGACAAATAGTCAAAACAGATGATCAGGGAAAGTCTTTTGGAGAGGCCTGGTTTAAAATATGTTGCTGTATGCAATGTATGCAACTCATACCATATCTAGGATGACACACAGTCAGTGTTCTGAGCTCTCTATCAAAGGGAACTAATGTCTGATAAATTTGGCCCACATTTTATTTTAACTCAGTCCTTACAGATGACATTGACTTTAATAAAGGCTGCTATGGCACAGATTTAAAGCAAATTGTATTTAGCTTCTGGAATTGAAACTGCTGTTGATAGGAAAAGTGTTGTTTTGTTATTTACAATCTGTTATGAAAATTTGAGTGTGTTAGTTGTTAAGGCTGGATCTGGCTCTGTTTTCTGCTGCTGGTGTGAATTGGCTAAATGGTCCCTTTCTATGGATGGAGGCCAGATTTTTCCCTGGTATGACTGTGCTGCTCACATAGGGGCAAGCTAGACTTTTCCCATTTGATTCTGAAATATAGATGAATATCAGTGCCTACCAGCCTCTGGAACACTTTCTCTTGCAAAGCTGCATGCTTTTGCTAAAGCTGTAATGTTGGTGAAGAGTACAGAACCTCTGTGGGCTGTGCGTGCCCACACGCCAGCAGTCGTGGTATGACGTGGGGTAGCAATGGCACCTTTGTGAGTCTGGTTCTTTTGTGATGCTACATTTTCATGTCTGTAGTTTTTATAAGAAACTCAGTCATCTTCAGGACAGCTTAATTCAAGTATAATATAACAACTGTTAAGGGAATGAGACTGGATAGGAATCAGGTCTTATAAAGTTGTATTTTTGTGTATGTGTAGTGCAAAAGTAACTGATTGTTTGCTTAATAATAATCTATCCGTTTATGGAAAAGGTAGGTTTGTTGGTTAGGTGTTTTTTTTTTTTTTTTTTTAATGGATTCCAGAAGATTTTAGTCTTGGTTTAATCAATCATATTCATGTAGTGGTGATGGTGTCTGGATGTTACAGACTCCAAGGAAGCGTGTAATGAGCAGGTAGAAAGGTACTTAGTCCTTCCCTAGTAAGCCTCACTCTGCATCTTTCACTGCCCTGGCACATCTCTCTTACTGTCATGTTGGCAGACTCAGCAAAAAGGCCATTCAGTGAACGGCTCCAGGTAAGGGATTTCACAGAGCTGTGCACATGCAGGCTATGAACACTGACTGATGTTACTGGTGCAACCATTGTGCCAGTTGTTGCCATAGCTGCCCTTCATGTTACTCATTTAAAAATCAGGCAATCTATGTTTTAACCAGCAGTTCTATGCTCATACATAGAACATCTAATTTAAATTAAAGCTGCATGTTTTAAATGTAATCCCTGTGGCATTTTCAGATAATTTAGTCTTGTATGGGTTCATTATATCTGGGGGAAAATATTTTTATTGAATTTGTTATATACTGCATAAACTCAAGAATTAAAAAAAATGTGCACATCATTGTGCTGTCACATATGGTTATTTTGCCTGTTACTGCCTTTAGACACAGCAATCCTCTGTAGTGTTCATGGGAGGAGAAGAACACTTGCAAGGCATAATTAGTTATTGAGTTACACAGGAGAGAAAGTTGGACCAGAGAGAAGGAAAAGACCAAGGGAACTAGCAGAATATTTGTGTCCAGATAGTCTGCACCTCATATCTTACAGTTTTTAATGAAGTTTCCTTCTGTTTAATATTTTCTGCATTTAAAAAACATCATGAAATCTGAAGCTCCTTTTGACTCAAATTTTGTAACATATTTTGGGATTCATTAAGAAAAAAAATAAACATAAAATGAAACATAAACTTTTAATTAAGCAAATGGTAAGCTTAAAATACCAGGTGTGACTGTTATTAAATTGAGGACTGAAAATAGAAAAAGGCTTTGTTGTTGAAGGTTTTGTATTCTACTGGTTCATTTATCACTGACAGGACTATACAAGCATTCACAGATATTTAGACTAAAGCATGGAGCTAAATGGTATGTGGACCTTCTAAATAAATAAATCAGGTTGCCCTAATGAAAAAGACTGGGAGATGAAACTGGCTGCTTAGATGGTCTGAAAATTCACCTGTATAGACTCATACAAAAGTAGTTTACCAGTTGAGGTGTGGTACAAATATTGCATGGATATTATATTGCATTTTCCTGTGTTTCTTTATCATTGTTTTCCTAAGGCAAAGCATGACATAAAACAGAAAAGTTGAATAAGATGGCAGAACTCATCTCAAATCCTAGGTGGTAATTTGTTGGTTTTATTTTAAGGGCAGATTAATTAGTATATGCATGTAAATGTAACAGTACAATACTTTCACTTTCAAATATTTTCTAGACTTTTTTTGTTGTCCTTCCCCAACTACTAACCCAGGAGAGGAAAAGCTGTAAATCTGACAAGCATGGAGGTACTGGAGATATGAAAGACTTGACTTACTGTTCTGTTTTCATATTGTTCTCCTAACATCACTGTTTCTGTGATTATTTCTGAGTTTAAGCAGTTTGAAAAGACAAAGCTAATTGTGATATATTTTAAGTCTCATTCTCAGATTACTTAAGCTTCTTGTTCCTCTATTTGAGGTTGTCTATTTTAGGATGCTGTTATACCAGTGATTTTTAGCCATAGTGCTTTGCTGTAGTGTTTTACTGTGGATTGTTGACATTATCTATGTTTACTTAATATCTCCTGGATGGACATTTTGAAAATCTTTAGGCTTGAAATAGAGAATTTGTTTAGCTTGCTTATTAGCTTTTATTAAAAGCGTTTATATATTCATTTATTTAGCGTATCTCAGCCTCTTAAAATACACTTTCAGTAAAAAAAAAACCCAGAAATCTCAGGACAAAAGTATGAATTTGCTCCAAGTTAGTTTGAAAAATTATTTTGATTTTATAGATGTCATGAAGGATTGCTGTTGCTGGAAGTAGTTTTCAATACTTGTAGGGCATTTTTCAGGCTGAGCGTATTTGCAAATGCTGCATGATATATTTAGTAAAATTAGAATGCTTCTTGTTCTACATTGAAAATTCCTTTGGTCAGAATTTTCCTGAGTTTTGCTGCTCTCTGCTCATGATTTCAATCTTGTATGCAATGCTTCAATTTAGCCTGTACATAGAAGAAAGTATGGGGGTTTTGTACAAAGAGTAAAGTAGCTATTTTTATCTGTCAGTGCTTTGCAGATACTCAGTTCTCCACAGTGATTTTTTTCTTTTTTTCATTTGCACATTCTCTTAGGATCTGCTGAGTAATCATTTGCATTGAGTAGTTTAATCAAAGAAGGGGCAAAACCCATGTAGAAACTGAGCAGGCTGTGGAAGAATTTTGATTCTCATTTGGTCACAATGGTTATATTTCTACTATTGTTTTCAGAATTAGAGTAAGGAACACTGAGAACTTGTTCTTTAATTAGATGCTTGAAATATCACATTTCTAATCCTGATGTCTGCTGACATTAGTGGCCTCTGTCCTATGGAAATGTACAAAGTGGTTACTGCTGTGTGTGCCCAGGAGATGTAATACTGTGATGTTATCAGAAATGTGTTAGAATGCCTCTGATTAAAATGGCCAGCTGCCATGGTGATAGTGCCATAGAAACTGGTAAAATAATCAGTGCCTATTAGGAAATCTGAATGAAAAATTCTTCTCTAGTTTTCTGTCTTTTATGTTTCAGCACCTAAACAGGAATGAAACTCTGCTGATGTTGTATTTCTGATTGAAAAACATACTGAATGAATTCCTTTGTATTACACAGCAGACTGGGCTAAGGTTGTTGTATTGGTACTGCTGAAACACTAAATGCATGAGTGCCTGAAAATTCAGTCATCCCACAGGTGACTTCTAGTCCCAAGAACAAGGGCACGGAGGTAGGAGACCTTTCTTACAGAGCTGGTATTTGTTGTTAAGTCACTTTACTTTTCT